AACAGATTTGAGTCGATAAAGGATAGATCTAGAATAGAAGGGTTTTCGTTAGGTCTATTGATAAATGTAGGTTCTCCATTATTAAGACAGATAAGTTCTTTGTCATCCAGTGCTGAATAGAGAGCTTCTCTACTCTGGCAAGATCTAGAGCTGCCCCGAAGATAGTGGTGAGCGTTAAAATCACCGCCTATGAATATGTGATCTGAATTAAGATTAGTTACGGAGTTGATAAAATTTTTCCAACTGCTTTCTGATATTGAATTATTAGATGCAGGGGCTCGATAGACAGAGACAATTAATAATTGTCCTAAATTTGTATCAACGAAAATGGAAAGAGTTTCGAGACTATTTTCAATGTTGAGAATAGTCGAGACTTTAGTGAATGTAATGCCTTTCCGAATAGCAATTGCTAGACCCCCTCAATTGAGATTAGGTCTATCAGCTCTGATAAAGTTAAAGTTAGAATTCAAAGAAAATAATTTGTTAGGTTTAAGAAATGTTTCACATAGGAGTAAAATATCAAATTCATGCGAAATAGCAAGGATATCGGTTTTTTTGTTTGCAATACCGCGACAGTTCCATTGCATAATTTTCAGGTTGTTTGATGTAGTCATATTAGGGTTTGCTTAAGAAAGAGGATAAATTCGATACATTATTAGATATACTGTTCATAAAATTATTGAGAATATCTGCTTTATTCGGCAAAGCGCTTGAGTTGAACATGAGGAGTTTAGTAAAAACTGTTATTAGATCATTAAGTAATGAGGTGGAGTCATAATTGGGTGAAGGTGAATTTTCGGAATCAGATGGGGTAGATTGACCTTCATCATCGGAAAGAGAAACGACAGAATGATGTCTCTGAGGTTGATAAGTTTTAGGTTTTTTGATTTTTTCCTTTGCGGGATGAGATGACTTTTGATTATCTTTGTGAGTTTTTGGTTTTTGTTTCGTTTTCGGTCGAGAAAGAAGTGCAGCAGAGTAAGCCGCATCATGGGATGGGTTATTGTTCTGCGAGTAATCATGGTCACCAAACTCCAGAAAGTGACTGAAATTAAATTCAGGTGAAGAGTTTTTAGGAGTTTTGTGAGACGATCGTTTGTTTGGTCGAAGTACAGCTTTCGCTTCTGAGAAAGTAATTCAGTGATTCACTGCATATGAGCGAAACACCTTTTGAAATTTGAATTCTGAGCATTCCTCGGAATTTGGTAAATGTGGTCCTTTACAATGAAAACACTTTGGTTTCACTCCCTTCTTCATGGTCCAATTCACCGCACTGTCTAAATGTTTTTTGCGGTTTACAAAATTTGCTAATATGGCCATACCTTAGACATTTCCAACAGATTTTTACCGGAGGTGTATAAACTTCTACTTTGAAAGAGGCGTTGTAGATCGCGACTTTTGGTGAAAGCGACTTACCTTTAAAAGTCAAAAGAACCGTGAGAGAAGGGACGTATTCTATCTTATTTGTATCTTTATTAACGCTCTTTCTAGAAAGACGACGGACTTGAATAATAACCGAGTTGTTGTGATTGCTATCGAGAATCACAGTGTTATTCAAAATTTCTTGTTCGGAGAAATCAAGAGGAATGCCTTTGTCATAAAAGGCGTCATAGCCTTGTAAGGTAACAAAATATGAAGGTATAGGGGCCTTCAAATTTGTGCTTTTTAGATTATCATCACTCAGAATAAAATTATTTTTTAAAAACTGATAGTCTACCAAAGCCGGTACTTTTAACGTCAACAATGGCATTAGGATATCTTGAATTGAAGATCTTTGAATAGGTTAAGCGATTTAAGTTTTTGGGGGGAGAGCCTGGTACAAAACTTTCAATTAACACATTGCATACGCCAATCGTCGAATCGTCGTAAAGAACATTGTGAGAAGGTTGAGATTGATTGTTTTTCATATCTGCGTTTGATGTTTGGGTATTAGGATTATTTGTCGTTTCGTCCATTGACATATCATCGTCAGTTAAATGACTGGGATCATGGGTAACATCTCCTGGTCCAGTTATACGCTTCCTTTTGCGTTCTTTCGAATTCGTGCCTAAATGTAATAGAATTTCAGCTGCGCCATTAAGAGCGTCAGAATCTTGATTTAATATTGGTCGCAGAGGCATTAGAAACACTATTGGGAGGTGGGTTTTTTATAGTCTCTCTGCCATTACCAGAGGACATGTTTGTGTAAAGCGGGCATCCGCTCAAAACAGCAAAATTGGACGCATAAGCGTCTCGCTGTTTGAGGTTATGTCAGGCGAAAATATGTTCGCGTGAACCAAAATGTAATTTAATGTTGTGAAACTTTATTATATTTAATACGTTCTTATAATACACACTGGTTATTTCGTAATTAATACTGGGAATTATATATTCTCTATTCACTTTTTGGAAACGTCTATCATTCACCGTGTATGAAACTAAACTCAGTGCGCAAGTCGCGTTTTCGTATTCTTCTGCGCACGCTATTACTCCGCCATTTTGAAAAAAATTTCTGTTTTAAAACAGGAATCTATTGTTTTTTTCAGGTTTTGATCTTCCTAGTCTGCAAATTTATTTTTTAATTCTTAATTTGTGATTAAAGATTTGATTCATATTTATTAATTATCAAGTTATCTGGTATTATTTTGAAAATCATTCATTTTAAATTGCTTAATAACTTCTATAAATAAAACAAAATTTTAGATAAATAATTATAATATTACTATATTATTTATTTTCTAAATTATTTTATTTTATAAAACTAACAATAATCGTTGGGTTTGAATGAGAGAAAATGATTATTGTTTGATTTCCATACAGATAATTATAAACGTAAAATTTGAAAAATCGAAAAAAAATAGTTCCCATCGTTTTCCCATTATCGGACTAGGCTCAAAATTCGTCAAATTTAGAGCAGTTTTTGTAAAAAAAATTTGAAAAAATCGATCGATACACACAGGTTCAAAAATGAATTTTTAGTTTTAAATCTCAAAAATCTAATAGAATTTTTTTCGAAAATAACTTTCAATATTTTTTTTGGAAAGTACGTTTAAAAACAAAAATTTTGATATAAGATTGATCCAATTTGGTAAATTTTTAGCGAAATTACAAGCATTTAAAAAAAAGTGACGTAATTTTTCATAAATTGATATCTCCTAAAGGGCTTGATGAAAAAATTTGAAAAAAATTGTGAAAGCTAGTCTTTATGAGTACTAAAAGGAAAAAAATTTTCAAAAAGATCTGAGGTGCAAAAGCCAAATGGTCTTCGATTTGGCATGGAATACCTCATAGATAAACCAACCAAACCAATTTTAGATAACGATCTGCAAAATTCAATAAAAGGATTCTATGTTCGAAATTTAAATATTCAAAGTTGTAGAGAAAATCTCACTTATAATTACTTCTGCAAATTGCGAATTTCTTACATCAATAGATAAACTATTCATTGATCTAGGAATCATAGATCCTGAAAAAATAAAGCTGAAAAATCTAAAATTAGCTCAAATTTTGATTACTACTCATGGAAGTTATAAAATATTTACAATTATAGTTAAAAATAAACATTCCGATAGTTTAAGTAAAACTGATCTCGAAATTTGCCTCAAAAATTTACAAAAAATATTAATAAAAGAAGCAATAAAAACAAATTGTAAATTTTTTTTATTGAAAAGTGAAGTATTACGAGCAACGTGTAAAAAGGTTGTTGATATTGTGATGAAGCTGATGTTTTCAAAAAAGGTAGTGCGTTGCTAATTGTTGTCGGCCGGTGTGTCAACCGGTACTTTATTTCAAAATGTATTAAATTTTATTTATTAGAATAAAAACCATAAAAATGGATGCTTCTAAAATGCTGGTAATATATATTTTTTATTACATTTTATTAAAAATCATTTAATAGTATTTTTAATATTATAGTAAGAAATTTGTTATTTTTAGGTTATGGTATTTATTATTTTAAAGTTCATACTTATTTATACATTATTAATAATTTAATTATCATTAAAATATTTGCATCACTAATTAAAATAGTAGATTTAATTCTTTTTTTAAAATTACATTCACAAATTTCACAATGCAATTATACCTATATAAATAAGCAAATAAACACATTCTTTTTTGAACTAATTTAATGTATTTGATAAGAGCAACGATTTTCAAACACATATTTTGTTGAAATAAAAATTTTATAAATTTTTGTCCTAAAAATATTTATGTCAATGCGTCTACTGATTTACAAATTATAAAAAACATTTTGTTGGAAGCTAATCATTAATCATAAACATTGTTAAAAACTTTTTGTAAGTATACTGCCGCTCAGTAGATTTTGCCCACCCTACAGAATTTTAGGCGTTGCAAAAAGTTTTATATTTTTGTTTCTAATTTGTTGAGGAAAAAAATGTTCCTCTTTATGTGTATAATTAGAAAAAAAATATGTAGAAGTTTAAACAAAAATTTTATTTTACTATTTTTTTACATACCTTGTATAAGGTCATAATGTACATTTAAGTATATGCACAATACATAGTAAAATAAAATTTTTTTTTTAAACTTCTACATATTTTTTTCTAATTATACACATAAAGAGGAACATTTTTTTCCTCAACAAATTTTTTCAAAAAACAACCGTTCTCGACTTATTATTAATTTTAAAAAAGGGCTGTTTTTTTAAACAATTGACCATATCTTTGTTAAAAATGATCGTATCACAATTTTCAAAAAGCGTTTTAAAGGTGATAAAATTACCTTTCAAATGACATATGTGCAATAAAAATGTGATGATTTGTTAAAAAAATATATTAGTTTAAAATTTACCAAAAAAATTGAAAATTTTGTTAATTAATAAGAGCAATTAAGCAATAAATAATTTTTTTTTTAATTCATTTTTTAAATATTCTAAAACTAGAGGATATAAGCTTTAAAAAAAGTCTTTGTTTATTGTTTTATCTTTATTAGAAACAAAAATATAAAACTTTTTGCAACGCCTAAAATTCTGTAGGGTGGGCAAAATCTACTGAGCGGCAGTGTATATATATTTTGTATCAATAGATTTGGTTATGTTGGTAATGTTTTTTAGTAAAAAATTTAATTTGTGAAATCTTGATTTTTTTCTAAACCATGAAAAACCGTAAAAATGTCTCGACTTTTTGTAATTTGCGAATTTTATTTATTACATCGATTGTCTTACAAGAAGAAGAATATTTTAAAACTAAAATATAATAGTAATAAAATTATAACGAATTTAAAAATATTAATTTACAGATTGCTAAGAAAAAATTATCAATTTTATTGTTGCAAAGAATGGAATATCAACAGAGAAAAAATAAACGAAAATATAGAGTCCACCCTCTTTGGCAACAACGTTCCGTATGCGGTATGTTGAGATAAGAAAAATGTAATTTACAATATTATATAATGTAAGCTTCTATAATGCAGAATTGTCTTTATATTTTAGGTGCTCATAATACTTTAATAAGAGAAATGGTCATGCATGATCCAGCGATGTTCCGGAACTATCTGCGAATGTCTACTTCGACATATGAAAATCTTTTACTCAAGGTCGGACATAAATTGCAGAGCTGTCCTACCAGAACAGATGTAATCACACCGTCTGAGAAACTAATAGTAACTTTAAGGTAATTTTTTTAATTGTATAATTTTAACAATATCGCCTTATATTTGAAAATGGTAACTTTTATTTCTTTAAAAAACAAATGCAAAAAGTGAAAAAGTTTGTAAAAAAAAATGTTTTGTAGTCAAGGTCGGTTTTTACTGTACAGATTGATCCACAGTTGAAAATCAAAGCACATTATCGTTCTCATCTTAAATAAAATTTTTAACATTTTTCTTTTAAAAATACAAAGTGTACGAGAGACGTCTTTTTTTAAACTCCTAATATATTATGACACAAAAATTTAGTTTATTCAAATAGAATCTTTTCCACGCCTATACAATCATATAGTACTTTTATGATAAAAATATTGGAAATTTTAATTAAATTCATCGAAATTTCAAGAGGTTATAATTTCTATTTATAATAAATTAAGCCACAAACTCAATACTTCTAAATTTTATTTTTTAAAAATTTTATTAATATTTATCTGTTCTTGTGTTTTGTCACCTCGCTATTCCTGTTAAAATTATTTACCTTTTAATTTTTTTACACAATAAAGGTATTGTGATTTTTAATTTTTTAAATTACAAAATTTCCGATTCTAATATAAAAATGATTATTATTTAAACTTCTGGGCATTTCCATGAAAAAGCGGACATTCTGTCCGTGCGTCACGATGCCTAAATTTGTCTGTAACTTTTTTTTAAAATTATTATAAAATAAAAATTTTTTTTTCGATGCAAAAAGATTAGAAAATAGAAACGTTTCCAAAAAATTTTTTGATTTTATAAGAAAATTGAAAAAAGATACAGTCGTTTTAATCATCGTGACGCACGGACGAAAATTCAATTGTTCTCGTGGAAATGTCCTTCTATTAGGTTTTCAAAAACTAATTTAAACAGGAAACTAATGACGACAATTGACTTCTTATTCTGACCCACACATCACCGAAGATTCATTGAAAGTTTAAACGTTAACTTACAAATATTGAATCTCCGGATTCAGAAAAGATTGTTTAAATATTAAAATGTCTGCATGTGAGTAATTTACATATTCAGTTAACATTTGCGTTAAACATTTATTCTTATGCGGACATTTTAATATTTAAACTATCTTTTCTGAACCTGACGATTCAATACTTGTAATAAGTTAACGTTTAAACCTTTAATGATCTTCGGGGAATTTTAAGTGCTGTGTAGGGATATGATAATTTAAACTATAATGAAAGTTATTCATCTTATCTTAATTGAAAGATTTTTTATGTTTATAATTAAAATTAATATTTAAATAAAATAATTTTTTCTTTATCTTTCACCTCTTTCTAGATATCTTGCTACTGGTGAATCTTTTACATCTTTGTCACGTCAGTTTCGGATGGGAATAAAAACTATCCAAATATTTATTCCTGAGACACTAAAAGCCCTGTGGACAACTTTACAGCCTGAAGTGCTTGTATTGCCAACTACTCCAGATGCCTGGATGACGTTAATAAATAATTTCAATGAGAAATGGCAATTTCCCAATTGTTACGGTGCTATGGATGGAAAGCACGTTTTGATGCAGGTAATTCAAAAAATAAATATTTTTCCAATTGTTATTAAAGTAGAGTGTACTTAATGAATATGAATGAAAAAAGTATTATACTTTTATTCTTAAATATTTTATTTTAGGAGATAGTGAGAGTAAAGAATTTGTTATATAATTTTAAAAAATTAATTGTGCTGATAATGCTTAATTGTTTTCTATAATTTCACGTTTTTTCCCGTAATTTCTGTAATTTTTATGTAAACATTTATTTTTTATTATGAAAGGAGTGGTATATTATTTTGTAAACTTTTATGAACCTTTAAAATAACTAATTTTCAAATGCTTTAAAAATATGTTAATGAATATTTAAATTTTTTAGGGACAGCCTGGTACTGGTTCCGATTATTACAATTATAAAAATTTTCATAGCATTGTTCTCCTTGCAATGTGCAATGCTGATTATGTATTTACAATGGTTGATGTTCGGGGCAAGGGACGTCAGAGTGATGGCGGTATTTTGAAGAACAGCGCCTTTTTCAAAGCACTAGAGGAAGATCGCTTAAATCTACCACCTCCAACACCTCTATATCCTAATGGTCCAAATATGCCAGTTGTCTACATTGCTGATGCTGCATTTGAGAATGATCTTCACTGTTTAACGCCGTATAAGGGAGCAAAGAGTGGAAATCTTTCGAAAGATAAAAATATTTATAATTATAGACTGAGTAGAGCCCGTCGTACAATCGAGAACGCCTTTGGAATATTAGTTGCAATGTGGCGAATCTTTCACACGCCAATTATGGCTAATTTAACTGTAGTACAATTAATTGTATTAGCAACAGTGTGTTTACACAACTATATAATAAAAGAAGAAAAATCTTTACCACTCGATTTAAGACATTACTGCTCTGCCAACATTTCTGATCAAATTAGAAATGTAACTGACAACAGTGCTTTACAGCCTTTGTCCATACCTCAATCAACAACAGCTAAAAAAAATCTAGCTAGATATAATAAGAACCACTTTAAAGAATATTTCATGGGTCCTGGAAAAGTTTCGTGGCAAGATAGAGCAGCTTTTTGAAGAATAAGTTTATATATTCATTATTTATCGAATGAAAACAAATATTTTACTCATTTGAAATATGGGGGTTGTAAGACAAAAATTACTAATAAATGTTATAAACAAAATGTAAATATCAACACTTTTATTTAGTTTTTTTAATTGTACCTCACAAATACTTATTAAAATATTTTATTTTCAATGTTTCATTTTTATCAGTATCATCACCTTCAGTTTCAAAATTAAGTTAATAATTTTTTTTTATCACAAACATATTAAATCTTGAACTACGTTTTTAAGAATAATTAAATATTTCCATTATTCGTTTGTCTTATAAAATAGTTTTCTTAAACGCTACGCGAAAAATATTACTTATTAGACGAAGACTAAATATAAATAATCAGTCTTTTCTTTTAAGACACATGTAATGTCAATCACATTGCTGGATTACATAGAATAGAATTGAATAGAATATATATGTGTGGTAAATTAAAAAACTTGTTATTCGTGAAAACAAAATAGAAAACACTTAACTCAAGAGTGTAAATGTTAGCAAGTTAGCAGTATAAACTTGCGTGATTACTGGAATTGAGCAATCATAAAATTCAAATACATTTTTATACAGCTGACTTACTGGCTATTGTTTTTAAAAGATATATTAAAAAGTAGTAACCACATACAATTTGTAACTTATTCTTTTTTAATTGTATGTGAAGAAAAAATAAAAACCTTCAAGTTATACTAAGAATAAATAAAAAATACAATGAAGTCACTTTTTTGTACCCTTCAACTTCTATGATTAAACTTAAAATGTTTACTTTTAAGGCACTTAATTTGTACTTTTTTGGTTTTTTGTAATATACTGATCCGTCATACAAAAATAATAATGAAAAAATAATATTTAAACACATTGAAATACAGATTGCGAATCACAATCCATACAATTTTTTGTTTAGTAACGATTCTAGTCGTTATTTTAAATAACTGATTATTATGTTATATCCTACGAAACTAAGCGTAAATCTTTTGAGAAACAAGAACATTTAAAAAAATTTAACAATCTTATATATTAATAGTGATTCTATTTCTTATTAAATATCCTTATGGCTTATTGCATCTCGTAAAATTTGTAGAATTTGAATTTGCACATTCATTCTTTGGTAATCAGTCAATTTCTCCATTTCCTTTCCTATTGAGAGTCCAAACTGTTCGCAACTACTGAATGCTTGTCCTTGCATTGGCGCTTTTAAAACATCAATGCACTTCAAAATTTCGTTATCAAATGGCGTCGACCTTTTTCTTGTGCCTGCAAAAATCCATAAAAATATTAATTTCAACTTTTTAACATGTATTCCTAAATTAAATTAAAACTACTATTATTGCTTAAAATAAAAAAATATTTTTTATAATTTTCAAAAAATTTTATATGTATCAACATTTTTTTCAGAAATAGAAGTTTCTATTCACATTGAAATTAATTTAAATTTAATTAAATTATGTAGTTTTGTGTCATACTAAAATTCGTGCGAATTTCGTACGAATTACAAATGTAAATTCATACGCAATCTACAAGAATTTCGCTCAAAATTCGTACGAATCATTTTGACATATGAAATAAATAAAATATTAATAAAAATTAAATATAATAAACCACAGATTTTAATAAAATTGAGTCGATCATCTAATTTAGAGGTTTGAAAATACTTTTTATATTGTTTTCATTTCATTACTTCACATCATATTGAAAAATACTGCATGATGCGAGAATGATATTCATTTTCATAAATGTAATTAAGACATTTATGATTTAAATTGGATTAATAAATTTAAAAAACGGTTTAAGTATAAACCCTACCCGTGTGGAAAACGCCCCGTTCGACCCATGCGTGATAGGGCCCCCCGGCAGGGTCCCAAGTGGAAAATCCATGAGGGCAAATCCATGCGGGCACCAGCAGGGCCCCCGCTATTTGCCCTCACGGTGCCCTGCTCAAAAATTTGTCTAAGTCCAAAAACAAAATTTTTTTTTTACCAAAAAATGTTTAGTTCAGAATGCCAGGTCTTTACCCTCACGGTGCCCTGCTCAAAAATTTGTCTAAGTTAAAAAAAAAAATTTTTTTTGTATAATAAATGTTTACTTCAGAATGCATTAAATAACATTATAAACCACTTGAAATAAACATTGGGTGACATTTTTTAAAAATCTATGTACAAAGTTATGGAAATACACGAAGGCTCCAGCAGGGCCCTTGCTATTTGCCCTCACGGTGCCCTGCTCAAAAATTTTTCTAAGTTCAAAATTCAAATATTTTTTCATCAACACAAAATGAATGTTTCCAATGATTCAGAACAACGAAAAACGCGTTTTTAATAAAAATATATTTACACTTTTTTTGAAAATTCACCTGAGATGATTCGTGATAATAATCATAAAGCATATAATTAATTATATTTTATAAATTGCATTTGATTGGAAAATATAATTTAATATCTTAACTTTAACTAAATGATGTTAAGCACTTTACTTTGTTAGGTATTTTTGAAGTTTAAATAGCATCAAGAAGTTAGCATTCGTTTTGAAGTAGCGTGCGTAGCGTAGTTGGTAAAGCGTTAGACTCATAGTCCGTAGGTCTTAGGTTCGATTCCCCCCATGCGTTAGATTTATTTATTTCTCAGGTTTGCATTTAATCATTAATTCTATGTATGAATTAATTGAAAAATGAAAATATCCGTTAATAGTATGCATAAATTACATATTTTTAAATTTTTTAATTAATTAATTTATTATTACTTTTAATTATATCCGACAGTTAATTAATTAGAACGTTAATTAATAAATTCAATTTGAGTAAGAATTTAATTTAAAATTGAATAATTATTAAATAAATATGTTATTTATTCATAACTTAAGCTTATTTATTATTAATTAACTTTTAAAATATAAATTTATAAAATTTATAAATAAAATATAATAAATTTTCCATGAGGGAAAGCATGTCACGCCTTTGAGGGCTCCACGTGGATTGCCCCTATGGTTTCCATGCGGCACGAGGGCAATCCACGAGTGCCCCTCACGGGGCCATTGCCAATTTTCCACACGGGTATTGAAAAAAACACGTATAATTATACGTATAATAATACGTATAAATATACGTATAATAATAGTACTATTATACGTATTATTATACGTATTATTATACGTATTATTATACGTATTATTATACGTATTATTATACGTATTATTATACGTATTATTATACGTATAATGCTGATTCCACATATACGAAATGCGCGCGTTTTGTGCTGACGCGTGTTGCTAGCGACAGAGTGGTATACGTATTAAACTATACGTATATCACTCTATCGCTAGCGATACGCGTCAACAAATACGTATCCCACTCTGTCGCTAGCGACACGCGTCAGCGCAAAACGCGCGCGTTTGGTATATGTGGAATCAGCATAATAATGCTGATTCCACATATACGAAATGCGCGCGTTTTGTGCTGACGCGTGTTGCTAGCGACAGAGTGGTATACGTATTAAACTATACGTATATCACTCTATCGCTAGCGATACGCGTCAACAAATACGTATCCCACTCTGTCGCTAGCGACACGCGTCAGCGCAAAACGCGCGCGTTTGGTATATGTGGAATCAGCATAAGACATACGAATTTGAAACAAGAATTATACGTATAATTATACGTATAATTATACGTGTCTATAATTTTTAATATTTAGGAATATATAAATATGGAATATATTTTTGTTTATTAGTATATACCTAAATATTATAAAATATTGACAAGTATATTATACGTATAAATATACGTATAAATATACGTATTATTATACGTAAAATTATACGTATAATAATACGTATAATAGTACGTATTATTATACGTATATTTATACGTATAATATACTTGTCAATATTTTATAATATTTAGGTATATACTAATAAACAAAAATATATTCCATATTTATATATTCCTAAATATTAAAAATTATAGACAAGTATAATTATACGTATAATTATACGCATAATTCTTGTTTCAAATTCGTATGTCTTATTATACGTATAATAATACGTATAATAATACGTATAATAATACGTATAATAATACGTATAATAATACGTATAATAGTACGTATAATTATACGTATTATTATACGTATAATTATACGTGTTTTTTTCACTAGGGAACTTAAAATTTGTTTACTTTAAATTATTCATAAGAAATATGAAATCGAAAAACTTAAAAAGTAGACTGAATACTATATACCTGTTGCTACTGATTTTCCTCCTGCATTATATCCTAAGGCATTTAGATCACTTTCGTTGTTGCTGTTATTATTGTTATTATTTTGTGGAGTTTTTGACTGTGGGACATTGCTGATTGTTCTGAAAGTTATAAAATAGAAACTGACATCTAAAAATTCTTTATTGTTTCATTAATGAAATAAGGAAAACAAAATTTTGTGTTAATTCAAAAAATATTACGACTTCTACATTTGAAATTATGTAAAAATAGCTTTTTGCCACCCTTCCCTAAAGCAAATTGAAGTAGAAAATTTTTAACACTTCCCCTACGGTCAGCTTGGACTAAGTTCAATCCAAAAGTTCTTGCACATTCAATTTTTTTCATATTGTTTCAGTGATGCTGGACAAACATTTAAATGTGAAAAAGAAGGAAATCTGTCGAGAAAATTTCAAATGAACTCAATTTTTCGATTTTTTTATATTACACAGGCCAACAAAATTTCAAGAATTTCATGGTGCCCAAAGGGTTACAGCCGATTCTTATAGGATTTTGTCCGTAGAATCCAAATCTGGCCATGAAAATGCTGAATTGGCTCTAGTTTTCGAGCAATTTAGGTTTAAAGGTGTCAAAAACTGCATTTTTGGCACTTTTTGAACGTCTGTAAAATAATCAAGCTACACAATAAAACAGTCCGCATACGACGAAATGAAAGCTTAATTATTACCCTTTGAGACCCTAAAACAAAAGATTAGGTAATTTAAACTTTAAAATATTGGGAACAGTTTTTGAACTCGCGGATGCCCGAATTATGCTCAATGCTTTCACGTGCATTTCCTAATGCATAGGACTGAACTTAAATTGTTTTTTTAGTAT